TGGGTGGATGAAATAGTAATACTTTTGCTTTCTGTTAGTTCAGTGTACACACACTTTGTTTCATGCACAAAAGTATTTTAAAATATTGTAGTAGTAGCAGTAGTAGTAGTAATAATTTATATATTTATTTATTATTATTGTAAAATATTGTAGAAAATTACTTTTAGGCTATGCATATAAAGTGTTAGGAAACATAATGTTGTGTTTAGACTTGGGTCCCAACTCCAAGATATCTCATTACGTACATATGTACAAATATAGTGGGCCCTTGATATCTCCTGATGTTTGGTTCAAGGGCCCCTGTGGATATGAAAATCCATAGATGCTCAAATCCCATTAAATACAGTGGCATAGTAAAACGGTGTCCCTTATATAAAATGACAAAAATCAAGGTTTGCATTTTGGAATTTATATATTTTTTGGAATATTTTCAAGATGTGGTTGCTTGAATCCGTGGATAAAGAATCCATGGATACAGAGGGCTGACTGTATAGGTATTCTAAAATTCAAAATAAAATAAGAAAATAATTTTAGAAATCCAAAATACAAAACACTTCTGATCCCAAGCATTTTGGATAAAGGAAACTTAAGGGTTATTCAGACATTTTTTTTAGCACCGCTATGCAAATAATCTCACATGTTGTTCACACTTTTTGTTTTATCAAACTGAATTTATGCACACCTCTGCAAGTTCTGCAAGTGTCGGTGCTTGAATAAAGAAAGAGTCGATGATGTGGATGTATTCGAAACACATTCAAGGCATGCAGAGTTTTATCCCAGTTTATCCCGGGTCTATTTGCATCAGTTATTCACACAGTCAACTATGCAAATATTTTAGGAAAACTCAGGAAAACCCTCCGAGATTGATTATCCCGAATTAAGTGGATTTCCCCCAAACTTAATTGGATGCATTTGAAATGCATGTGAACAACTAAGATTTAACCCAGATTCTACCGGGATTGTTTTCACCATCTGAATAATCCCCTGAACTGTATAATAATAATAATAATAATAATAATAATAATAATAATAATAATAATAATATCAAAATAAAAACTTAGTTGTTACAGGGTGCAATATTGAATATGGTCACAAGATGGGAGCAAAGAGCTAATTCCCAGTTTGCTTTATTCCCTTGGCTTTATAACCCATTATAAGGATTTGACAGGGCTGATGGACATGATGCTGTGGTACCTATGACAAAAACCTATGGCAACTGCCTTGTGAGCTGGAAACCAATGGCTATGCTGGCTGGGGACTTCTAGGAGTTGTAGCATTTCAATATATGAAAGGTAACATTTCAAAGTTCTGAATGACACATCTCCGACACCTTCATAAATCTGTATTTTAATCCCCTTTTCTTGTTGTGTGCCTTCAAGTTGTTTCTGACTTATGGCAACCCTAAGGCAAACCTATCTTGAGGTTTTCTTGGCATATTTCTTCAGAGGGAGTTTGCTTTTGCCATCCTCTGAGGCTGAGAGAGTGTGGCACGGTGGAAATCCTGTGCAGAAACGAGGTTTTAAATTGGGAAAAAAACTGCAAAAGCGGGTAGATTTTCACACGACGTCGATGTTAAACTGTTGTTAACCCAAATGGAAAGTAGTCAAAAGCAGCTTCTTTTTACTTTACAGAAAATCCCGAAAGTAAAAAAGAGCGGCTTTTGATTACTTTTCGTTCGGGTTAACAACAGTTTAACAGCGATGTGTGTGAAAATCTACCCGCTTCTGCAGTTTTCCCCCAATTTAAAACCCGGTTTCTGCATGGAATTTCCCCCATGTGATAAGGTCCTGTGACTTACCCAAGGTCACCCAGTGGGTTTCCATGGCTGAGCTGGGATTCGAACCCTGGTCTCCGGAGTCATAATGCAACACTCAAACCACTTCTCCACACTGGCTCCTTGCTGTGGTCCTACCACAATAAATCCATTCCTGGACACCCAAGTTTTCTTATTGTTTCAGCAATATAAGGTGGGAGGGAAAAGAGCGACTCCAGTTCTTGTAACTGAGAGTTGGAAATCCTTGCCGAGCTACTGCTCATCACCCCAAGATCTACCAATAGATCCAGTTCTAACATTTGCCCCCTTTAATTTGTGGGGTGCGGGAGAGAAATCTTGAACCAAAAAAGGGGAAAGAAACAACAAAGAAGCTTCCAGAGATGAGACCGTATCGAGTCCACAAAATCAAAAACAGCTCTCTGTTTTTCCGTAAACAACTTTGTTATCTCAGTTACCGTGTAATTGATGTGGACTGCGCAAACTACAAAAGGATAACAAACTGACCTACAGAAGGCCATTTAATTTCTGGAACCCAATATACATGGAAATGCTGGAACAAATTTGCAGGTTACCTCCATATCCTCATTTGGTGACTTCTGGCAAAGCCTGGGGTTTGTTGTTGTTGCGTGTCTTCAAGTCGTTTCCGACTTATGGTGACCCTAAGGCAAACATATGATGGGTTTTCTTGGCAAGATTTGTTCAGAGGAGTTTGCCATTACCTTTCCTGAGGCTGAGACAGGGTGACCAGACATCCTCCTTTTCCAAGACCTGTCCTCTATTCTGTCCAGGAGGACCTGTCCTCAACCTTCTGTTCAGGAGGAATTCCAAAGTGTCCTCCCTTTTCAGCTTGACAAAAAAGCATGGACTTATATTTATATGAGTGTTTTTAGCTTCATTTTTCTTTACAGCCTACATTTTGCAGTGACTTGCCCTCCTTTGCAGTTAATGACACTGTGAGGCTGAGAGAGTGTGACTGCCAAGGGTCACCCAGTGGGTTTCCATGGCCGAGCCGGGATTCTAACTCTGTTCTCCAGAGTCATAGGATTTTATCAAACAGGGGAAATCTCATGCAAAAATGGGGTAGATTTTCAGACAATGTCACAATAGAAAACCCCCCACAAAAGTGGGTAGATTTTCAGACAATGTCACTGTTAAAGTGCGGTTAACCCAAACGAAAAGTAGTCAAAAATCGCTTCTTTTTACTTTTGGAAAATCCCGAAAGAAAAAGAAGTGACTTTTGACTACTTTCCATTCAGGTTCACCACACTTTAACAGCGATGTGTGTGAAAATCTCCCTGCTTTTGTGGGTTTTTCCCATCTTTTAAATCCCATTTCTGCACGGGATTTCCCCTGTGTGATAAATCCATAGTCCAATGCCCAAACTACTATGCCACACTGGCTCTCTACATGGGGAATAATAATAATAATAATAATAATAATAATAATAATAATAATAATAATAATAACAACAACAACAACAATAATATATTCCGCCTCTCTGTAAAATACAGCCGAGGCAGCTTACATGATAAAACAAACAATCCTGTCCCCCAATAGCCCACCCCAAAATACAATTAAACAATCAAAAATTACAAACAAACTTAAAAATAACAAACTACAAAAACATTCCAACAAATGACAAATAATTTAAAATAGCTATAGTGGAAATCAGGGACAGGCATAACTATTTTTGGTGGCCGGTTATCTACTCAGGAAAGGCCTGCTGGATGACGTCCATCTTAACCACTGTTTTAAATCTGTTTAAGGTTTAAATCTGTTTAAGGTTATGAGTGGCGGATCTCATCTGGCAGGCCGTTCCAAAGTCTGGGAACAATAGCCAAAAGGTCCTCTGGGCAGTGGCAGATAATCTAGTTTTTATAGATTGCAATAAATTCTTCCCAGAGGACCTTAGTGCGCGGGGTGGATTATACGGAAGGAGGCCGTCCTGAAGATACGTTGGACCCAAGCCATTTAGGGCTTTAAAGGTAATAACCAACACCTTGTACTGTGCCTAGAAACTGATAGGTAGCCAGTGAAGCGATCTTAGGATAGGTATTATGTGGTCTCTTCTGGTTTTGCTTGAGACCAGCCTGGCTGCCATATTCTGTACCAATTGAAGTTTCCGAACTAGGCACAAGGGTAGCCCCATGTAGAGTGTATTGCAGAAATCGAGACGAGAGGTTACCAGCGCATGTACCACAGTTTCCAGGTCCCTCATATCCAGATAAGGGCGCAGTTGGCGTATCAGCTGGAGCTGATAGCAGGCACTCCTGACCACTGCATTCACCTGATTTGTCATCTGAAGCAATGGATCTAGGAGCACTCCCAGACTTTGAACACAGTCCTTTGAGCAGAGTGTGACCCCATCTAGGACTGGGGATTGTATCCCGATACCTGGGTTCGGGGCTGTTACTGTTAGTATCTCCATTTTGTCTGGATTCAGTT